GGGTTTAAATAATAATAAACATTTAAGAGCGGCCGATCTTTCAAAAACTTAGAGGTTATAGAATGATATAACAATAACTATTTCATTTAGCAGCTTTGTTAAAAAAAACGTACCTCTCCGTTCTAAATTATAAGGCATTTTAGCTTTTCTAGATATATAGTATGCACTTGGATATACACTATATCTAGATGCATAATAAAAATAACGTACAAAGTCAAAACTTTTTATAATTTGGAATAGAGGGAATACTTCACAAAAATACATGACTATGACTCTAGGAGAACAATTAACTATTTCATTTAGTAGCACTTTCCAATTAGTTATGCACAAAAATATGAACTAAGGAAATTTCATGAACACAAATACCCATTACTCAAATACAACAAAACTTAGCAAACTCATGGAACCAATTAACGGTCATGAGGCCTGAAATTGTTGCCGTGCACGCAGCAGTGCTGCCTCTTGTGGTTGTGGGTGGCCTTAAGAATGATTGCAAAAGGGAGACCAATGTTTCTACAGGAAAGTACATTATTTAAACTAATGATGCAAATCACAAGCGATGATGTGAAAATCAACTGCAACTTAGCACCAGATGCTTAAACCGTGCAAACATGGTTTACAGTATTCCACACGCACCCGCACACAAAAACAAAAGCTCCCAACAGATATGAAGGACTTCATGAAGAGAACATTGGACAAGAGGAAGAATTCCAGCAACATCTATTCTGGCACTGGGGGGAAAAAACAAAGCAATTTATATTTTGCAGCCAAACTAGCAATTTTGCTATTTGGGGCACCGATTTCTTGTGCATGCCCAGCAACACTAGTCAGTACGAAATTGAGAAAGATAGTACATCACATAAGATTCACCCAGAACTAGTTTGGTACAGCCCTTCAGATCCTCCCGTCAGAGCTAAAAATCAAAGAAAAAAAAGAGAGAAATAACAACAAGAGAATCGTGTATATATCCCAGAGAGTGTGCACTGCCCTGGTTGTGGTCAGGGAAATTGGACAGATAACTTTCTGGCTACTGAAACCTGAAAGTCATTTCATCACGCTTCAGCAAACTTGGACAGATAATTTTCCTTTAAACAGAAGAAGACACTAGGCATAAATCACATGGTCTTTAGCTTAGATATTGACATGCCGCTTGTGAATTTTAGCCTTCTCAGCATCAATGATAGACTCCACTTGTTTAACAGCCTCCTCAAGTTTCCCTTCAGCGTTTACAACCACATAATCGAAATTCTTCATGCGTTTCACCTCCTCCCTGGCTGTTGCAACTCTGACAAGAAGCATATCTGATGTTTCTGTTTTACGATGGATTAGCCTTTTAACAAGTGCCTCTTCACTCTCAGCAACTAAAAATATGAAAACTGCAGATTCACCAAGTATCTGTCTTAAAGTTGCTGCTCCTTGAATGTCGACTCTCAGAACAATGTCACAGCCTTTAGCCATGTAGTCACGAATCTAGATGAAAAAAGGAACATGTATGAGAACTTTATGTAGGTAGACCACGTCTTCAGTTTTCGCACAAAAAAAGGACCACTTCTTCAGACATGTCTAGAATTTTACCCCAAAATACAGACATAATTTCTTAAGCTCTACTATGATAGGTGGACTGCATTCAGTCCATTGTGGTTTTTAACCCAAAATACACATTTTTCATTTCATTTCTAGGGAGCCCTATGAAATTAATGTCAATACATGTTAGCAGATTCTTTCAATCAAGTCGATGTACTGAAACTGAGTAAACGACATACAGCACTACAGAATGCTAGACAGTGAAACTAGAAAGCCAGTAAGCAACATTTTTGCAGAAATCCATAGAACTAAAGCAATACTCTATAAGACATTGAGATTTTCAACCTTCAATCAAGCATCATAGAGCAGGTTCAAGTGATCAGTTTATAATAGGCAAAAATCAAACAACAGATTAAAATACAATGCGCCTGTAATCATGGTATGGTGTTCCCTGCTGTACCCCATAACTCGATTTGACATATGTAGCAAATATGGCAGCTGACATTTGCAAACATATGCTACTGAAGTGATATTTGTGACCTACATGGTTTGAACTTTGAACTGCCCTGCCCTGCTTCACATATAAGTGGAGTATGCCATTTTCTTGGCTTTTTATGAGATGAGCTTGGGTAAGCATAGGAAGATTTTGATCTAGACAGCTCTGAAATATACTGTAACTGTCCCTGTGTATAAAGCACTAAACAAACCTAGCGACGCATCAAGCAGATAATTGAAGTTTTTACCATGCAATATTTATGATCTTTACTTATTAGTTGCATTTTTACTAGGCATTAGGTCAGCTGTACAAATCCGTGTGCATTTAATTTTTGGGGTAAAAAAAAAAATCCATAGTGATATGACGGTTTCTCCACTGAATTTCTAACTCCTATGGTTATTTACATCACTTAGGTCTGCAGTGCCATTGGCAAAATTCCAGCCACACCACTCATTCGCACAAGGCCATAACACATTTTTCTGCGATGATACAGAAGATTGAGTTGTTCATACTGAATAGTCATAACATCATAAGTGCATAAGTAAACCATTATTAGTGCATATGGTAATCGTAAACCGTTTTCCTAAATCTTAACTTATCCAGCATGTGTATGCACACCAATATGCAGGCAAGAAACCGTTCTGATGCAAACAGGTAATGATATAACCACGATCAAATACCTGCTGTTTGGGAATCCCCTTGTACTCCCCATAAACAAGCGCATACTCAAGCAACTCCTCCCTCTCAATCATCGTCAGGAATTCCTTCTTACTGACGAAGTAATAGTCTTTCCCGTCAACTTCACCTGGCCTCATCGCCCTGCTCGTCGCGGTGACAACGAAATGGATCCCTTCCCTCTCCTCCTGCAGCCTCTGCAGATCAACCCACACCCGACATTGTAAAGCCAATCAGAAACCAATGGCCCGCAGCAAAGGTGGGTGGGGTTAGGGATCGCAATGAGGTGTCACCTTGATGACGGCGTCCTTGCCGACACCGCTGGGCCCGCTGATGACGAGGATCATCGGCTGCGGCGGCGGCGCCAGCGGCTCAGAGCTGAACGTGGTGCCCAGCGCCGCCTCCAGGCCCCTGAACAGCTGGTCCTGCAGTGCAGTGGCACAGGACGCAAGGCGCTCCGCTTAGGCGGTCCAAGGGGCAAAACTGTCAAGAATCTAAGCATGTGACCCAAATACCTTGTCAGCGCCGGGATGAGGAGGAGGCGGCGGCGGCGGCGGGGGACGGTGCGAGGAGTGCTGCCACCCGGCGGAGGAAGACATGAGGCGGCGGGGCGTGGAGCGGGGGGCCGGAGTGGTGGTGCGGGCGGCGCAAGGAGGAAGGGGCCGGCCCCGTACGAGCGAGGGGGCGCGGGCGAGGGCGCAGGAGAACCTTCGCGAGAGAAGCATCGAGAAGGTTCCGGGACAAGAGGGAGGAGTGGTGGAGGGGCGGGCGGAGGCCGGACTCCCGGAGGGTGTGGGGATTGGAGTAGGAGAAAGGAAAGGATGGCCGGTGGCGAAGGCCGAAGGGGGTTTGTGGGTTTTTGAGGGCGTCTGCCGCGAAATTGGCGTATTCCAGCCTTCCAGGGATATAAACGAGCTGAACGTGAACATTCGTTTTTGTATTTTTTTAACGAATTTGAATATGGCTTTGCGCCTTTGCGTGTTCTCAAGAACAAGGGCGAATATTAGCATGCGACAGATACGAATCGTATGTCTACTTGTCTAGGCAGCAATTTCTAAAGGTGTCTAACTATAAACTATCCAAGGCATTTTTCTTTTCTGCATATTTCAATTGTTTTTAATTTTTTTATATAATCCCATGAATATGAATTCGTTATATTTGGAAACCGTTTGACCACAGACTGAGCTCAATTGGTTAAAATGTACAGTATGAGATTCGTAGCACGAAGTAATAACACAATCGTTTCTATTTTTGGCTAATTATTTTTTTTCAATGATATGTGAAATGCCTTGGACATCCGAGGAGTGTCTGACAGTCTTACCCTTCGCCAAGAAGATCAAGGAGAAGACCACCAAGCTGATGGAAGGAGCCCCAAGGTATTCCCCATGGATATGGTTTGAGCTTAGAGGGGCTCCCGCCCTCTAGCTTGATGTAGAAGAAGATGAAGAAAGGGTAACAAACTTCGCCGACAAGCCCTCTAGTCCAACCTAAAGCCCTAAGCTCGGGCTCCATAGAAAGCTAAGCCTAGAAATCATCTCCAATCTCATCAACCATTTGTTTCAAAAAAAAATCTCATCAACCATGTAGACTACTCATGGATGATGTAGAGCTTCATCTTGGCACTATCAACTCAATGTACCTTGTTAGATGTGTTCTAGAGCCCTTTAACAACATCTAAGAACAAGCCTCCTAGATAGACACGATGCGATCCTCTCAGCAAATTCGAAAATGGGCAGTGCTTTTACCGACCTCCCTCTCTCTGTTGAAAAAGCATATGTTCTTGCTGCATTCCTCTCCGGCCTTGATTATGTGTGAAGCAAGAATCGCCCATTCCTGTAAGAATCAGATACATGGAAGCATCAAGCAACATTATTAAGATGACATGCCCTCTGCTGAAGGCTCCAGGTCAGAAATATATTTATATTCACAAAAGGCGCTGGCTTCTGAATTACAAGTTCATGCTCTGAAAGAGAATCTTGGAATATCTAACTGTAAATATTTGGGGATTTGATTACTGTTACATACGAACACATACCACGGGAGAGCAACAAATCAATAAGACTTTCTTTATTTTCCTTTTTGATGTCTGAAATCACAATGCACAAACTTATTCTCGCAATCATCTACTGCTAAAATTGTGAACTAACTAAAAACGAATCAACTATTCCCAGAAAGAGCGACCCAAACAATGAATTCTCAAGGAGACCACACACACATCACCCCAAAATCCTAGCAAGTGTTAGTATACCCTCCAAGTTTCCACAAGCTGATGTAAGTACGAGATGTACACTATCAAGAACTACGGTCACGACGATAGGGACAAGAGATCCTCAAACACCGTTCGGATCTCCGGCCTCTCGGATGCGGACCGGATACACCGGATCGCTATGCGCAGCATGCCATCCAGCGCATTCAGGGTGCCTTCCGAGCTCTCAACGTCCGTGATGTGCCGGTCATAGCACTCTGAGACACGCTCCTCCAGAGCCAGCATCCTCACCCAGTCAGTCAGGTCGACCACGCCGTCGTTCATGCAGATGATCTCACCAGCAATCTTCCCTGTCAGCAACTCCAGCAGAATGACACCAAAAGCGTACACATCGCTCTTCAGAGATGGGCATGGCTTGCTGGTGCTTGAAAACTCAGGTGGGGAATATCCTAGGGCACCAGCGTTTAGGACCTGCTCGGCCATGCCGATCGGAGTCATCAGCCTGTGAAGGCTGTAGTCGGTTACCAGAGCAGATGGAGTGGAGTTCTGAATCAGGACGTTAGACGACTTGATGTTGCCATGTGGAATCACCCGCTCATTGTGCAGGTAATCTAGACAGCGGGCAATTACGATCGCAATATTCAGCCGCTGTCCAACTGATAGGGGTGGGAGATTCCGCTCATCAAATTCTAGAAAGAAGAAATATGCATCAGAAAACGTCCATATTGAGCACGAAACAGAAAGTGTTGAGTAAAGGAAGGAACCATCTTACCAGACAAGTAGGTAGACAGAGATGTCGCATCTACATAGTCTGATATCATGATCCTCTCATGCTCTTTGGGGCCCCAGTAGTAACCACGCAACGGGACAAGATTGGGATGTTGTACACTACCAAGCTTCTTTATTTCACGGGAAAATTCTTTCTTACTCTTAGCAAAGCCCTCCTTCAGCCACTTCACTGTCAGCATGTACCCATTGTCAAGAGTAGCCCTGTAGGATGTCCCATGACAGCTCCTGCCAATTATCTCGGCAGGGGCACGAGAGAGCTCTTCAGCCGTGAACACAACTGAATTGTCGAAAAGATGTAAATCCCCAACCAGTTTATCAGGAGAGTGCACTCTAAGGATAGAGTGATGATGCTGGGAGTGCGCATCAGGAGGTGACGATGACAAAGAAGGCATCAAAGACTTTGTGCTGTCTTTAATGGCTGAGCTACTACCTGCTGGTTCATTGAAATAAGCAGCATCAATTGGCACATCTTGGGTTTCATGCTGTCTTTCCTTGCCAGGCAATGGAACAGCTCCATACTCTGCAGAAGGTGCCGATCCTAATGTTACATCTTGCACTCCACTTGTTGAAGTTTCTGCACTTCTCTGACTCTGAGCACTCTGGCCTTGAGTCACATGTTGTTTACCTTGGCCAGTACCTTTATCGCTACTCTTCCAGCTATTGATCTTCCAATGAACAAGCAAAAGCACAATAATCCCAGTAACAAATACAACGACAGAGATAATCAATGCATATAGAATCCCACGCTTCAAGCCGTGTCTGCCCTCATCTGATTTGTCAGAGCCATTTGGTGATTCGGAGCGAGGAAGAACAAGTAATTCATTCCCTGGATGGAAAGATGAATCTGGGAATTTCAACAAATTACTTGGAACAGAGCCAGACAGGTTGTTGTAGGAAACATTAAATTCGACCAGATCATCAGGGAGGCCATCAGGTATGCTACCATTGAAATTGTTGCTTGATAAGTCAATGAATATCAAATTCTTCAGTTTGGTGATTGCTCTTGGGATTTGGCCAGTAAAGTTGTTCTGACGAAGGTTCAGCAATGTCAATGCACTCAAATCACCAATGCCCACTGGCAGCCAGCCATTCAAAAAATTGCTTGAAAGATCAACATATGAGAGGTTTGAAGTTTGCACAGGAAGAATGGACAAGTCTATAGAAGTCGAGTTTTTGGTATCAGAATTTCGAAGGGGGAGAGTCCCTGCAAAACTGTTGCCTGAAAGATTTAGAAAAGTCAGCTTAACCGCTGTAAACAGACTTCCAGGCAAAGGTCCATGCAGCTCATTAAGACTGAGGTCAATGGAAATCAGCTCTGGATAGGTTCCAAGAACAATTGGCAGTTCTCCTGATAGCAAGTTGTTGGAAATCCTCAAAGATGTCAGCCTCAAAAACTGGGTTGTCTCATTTGGCCAACTTCCTGTTAATCTGTTTGAGCTCAGATCAACCATCTGGAGATAATTTCCCCATGTTCGGGCAACTGATAAGTTCCCATACAACATGTTTCCACTCAGATCAACTACTGAACAGCTTCCAAAAGTGATCGGTAAAGTTCCCTGAAGACTATTGTGTGACAAGTTTAAGTACTTCAAGTTTGTTGATGTCACACGTCTAATTGGACCTGTGTAAGAAAAAAAAGGGGACACAGTAAATAAAGGCAACCAGCATTATGATTGTTAAATGCTATACATTTTATAAATGATTGAAAACATAGCATGCATGCCAGTACCAAAGTTAGACAAGAAATGTTTTAGGAATTTAAATAAAAAATTATCATTTAAACGAAAAAGATTTACGAATCTCACAAACTCTCTTATTGAAACTTGCAATCAACACCTCCAAAAAAATGCAAACAACAAGGTACCACAGGGAAAATGTTGTCAAGAACTTAAATTTCCTACTGCCATTCTCCTAACTAATTTATTATGATATAGCTGGGAATGACCAAACTTGATCAGCAAATATATTCTCTTTCGATGTCATTGATCTAAAGAGGAGGAGGAGGAGGAGTATAAAATGTGAGACAACTAGCTGAAAAACATAGCTTTAGCTGTGCACACTGGAAGTCTCAAAATTGAACAATCACTAATAGCAAATGTATCTTTGGAGTATAATGGCAATTAGTATACCAGTAGTCAGTAAACTAGAGTTAGAAACTTTCATGGTGACTTCAGAAGAAGGAAATGAGCAATTTCCCTTCATGTGTAATAGGTGCTTCAGCTGATCCACACTTCTTGTATGCTTTAAAATTGTATATTGTTTAGTCGCAAAACAAAAGTATACTGCCTATGGAAAAAAGAAGATGGTAGCAGGTCAATGATTTAACATCAATCCTTTTCATGTGTCTCATTATAATATGCTGGTTTAAGCATTAGGAAAATGTTATGGGGAAAGAAACATGCATAAGAGCGAGCTGAATGCAATGTTTAAGATAAGCATGAGACTAAGAGTAGGAAAATTATCTGACCTGTAAGTTGGTTGCAACTAAGGTCAAGTTCAGTCAGCACCATAGAGGTCTCCCTAAAGAATGCTTCTGGGATAGAGCCAGAAAAATTATTGTTCTGCAGGCGCAGCACCTTGAGGGAGATCACAAAACTGAACTGCGGGATACTGCCACTGAGCATATTGAAACTCGCATCAAAAACCTCAAGGCTGTCGAACAAAGGCATCGGAACACTGTCAAACAATGTCCCTGACAGCACATTGTGGCTAACATTCAAGTACTGAAGCGTGCTAACCACAGATGAGTTGTCAGAGATCGATGCCAATGACCCCGAGAACTGGTTACAGCTTAAATCAACATGGACTGGGCTCTGCAGCTGCGCGAATACATCGTCCAGTTTACCAGTAAAGCCATTGCCATGAAGGTCCAAGTACTTCAATTTCCTCAAATTCCGGAAACCCAACGGCAATGCGCCACGGAAACCATTGGAAGAGAGATTGAGATAGCCCAGACCTGTCAGCTTAGTCAACTCAGACGGAATTGGACCGGAGAACCTGTTGCCAGACAGATCCAGCAACTGCAACGACGCCATCGACCCCAGCTCACCCGGCAAGAACCCTTCTAGCTTGTTGTCTGACAGGGACAAGTTCCTGAGCATGGGCATCCTCGCCAGCACCGACAAGCTAGCATTCCCCACGAGACCAATGCCGTCGAACGCAATGGAAAGAATCTGGCCGCCGCTGCACTGCACGCCGTGCCAGTCGACGGGGCAGCCGTCGGAGTCCAGCGCGCTGGTGGGGTTCCAGGGAACGGCCCGGCGGCGGGATGGGTCTTGCCGGATGCCTCGGCCGAACTCCAGCAGTGCCTCCATGTCTGAACCAGCCCCCGCTGAGGCAGCGGAACACACGGCCCAGATCGAGAGCCACAATATGACGAGCCGCATTGCAAGACGCTTCTTTGCAGCCAGGTTACTGAAGCAATGCTCATGCAAATGAGATGAATGTTTCGGAATACGGAGCTCGAGATGAAAAAGGAAGTAGGGTAGGGTTTAAGCCCCTTGGAGCCGAGAAAGGGGATTGAGGATATAAGGTTTGAGGATTTTCAGTGTGAAAGCAGCGAAATCAGCAAGGACGGAGCCAAGAACCGAGACATGAAGAAACGGACACCGCTGAAGATGTGAGCAGGCCAAGCTCGAATTTTGTCATCCAAGAAAAGAAATGGCATTGTGCTGGTTGCTTCGTCCAAGCAAGCTAAGCTAGGATTACTGACCAACGACACGACGAGATGGCCTTGACGGATCTCCACTCCACCGCGACTAGACCGAGAGAGGAGCTGTGGCCGTCGGGTGGAAGGATTCGGCAGCGGCGACGCGTTAGAGCTTCCCCGTGTCAGTGCTGGAGCGAATGCGCTCCACGGAGCAAGAGGGGAATGCAGGCCGCTCCATCTGAGGGTACGATGAGGAGCGGCAATGGCGTGCGTGGAGACTGGAGAGAGTGGGTGAGACTGAGAGTGGGTGGAGTAGTGGGTGTGTGGGACTAGCACCGCACCGGTGCGAGCCTGCGAGGTGTCGGTATGGAGAAGGAGCAGCTGGAAAGGATCCAGTGACCGCATTTCTTGTACACATGATTCGAGGCCCCCCCTTCCCTGGCACTGTCAACCAAAAAGCGTGACCGTGCAGAAAAGGTTTGCGGATTATTTTTGGGAGATCATCAGAAAACAGAAATTAAAAACGAGATAGCAGTGTGTGCGCGCGTGGCTTTACTTCGCAAAGGTTCCTTTTGTACACGATCGTACTACTCTCATCCTAGACAACAGTATTTTGTGTAGGCACTACCACTAAAAAGAAATATTCATTCTCCTCTTTCCCGTTAGCAGGACTGTAGGAGTAGTCCAGTGCTACTTTGAACTTTCGTCGTGCTGGTCTGGGTCCTATGATTTGATGTTGCTGGTGATGAACTGTTGAGCGTGTGAAGCGTAGTAATATCGCCATGATTTGAGGCGAGACGACGAGGGAAGCGGCCATCGAGTGCTTTTAATCCCCTTTTCCTCCCCGTTGCATTTGCAGGCCCAGACGTCAGCTGCGGTGACACAGCCACCGAACATGCGCTGGGCTGAGCTGAGACTGAGACGCGGGTCGGAGGCAGGCTACGGTTGCCGGCGCATAGGGGAAGCATGGTACAATATACACAGCCGTCGTATCCTCAGTCCTGCGCTGTGCCACTGTCCTTGGTGACGTGGCACCCCGGCCCGGCTCGTAATCGCCGGTGTCCTCCGACTGGCGACTGCTGATAATTCATGTACTGTACATGCAGCAGCCGTGACTGCTTGCGAGAAGAAGGAAAAAAATGCTGGTTTGCGGTGGCTCTAGAGCCCAGACGGAGGCGGGGTTTTATTTGGTTTTTGGTCGCTTCTGTACCAAACCAACCAAACCAACTCTGGTGCACTGATTAATTAAATCTAAAGCTCGACGAAGCGGACAAGTGGACTAGAATTATTATTTCTGGTGCTGTGCTTAGATCTCCCTTCATTTCTTTAGCTCTCTAGCGAAACACATGCATGGTGGTCACACGCACACGCACGGGACAGAGCAAAAGCTTCTCCTTCAAGTAAAAGAAGAGTAAACACCTGGGCTGGGCTGGGCTGGCCTTCCTTGTTCCTGCATTATGAAGCGAGAACCGGGGTCGTTTTGTTTTGGTTCGCAAATCGCTCGGCGACAGGAGCAACGAGCAGAGCGGGTCGGGACGGAGCCACGGAGGGCCCTTCTCCCCTTCCGGAGGCTACAAGACGACGCCGTGGAAAGCCAACTTGTTCGCTTCTCCGTGCGCCGTAGCGCTCGTCCGGACGTCTGTGTTTCCTGCCGCTTTTGTTTGCTTTCTGGCCACCGCGATGGCGCTGATCTACGGCCTTGTCCCCTTGCGCTGTACCGACGCCGACGCGCACAGGGCCGGGCGCGGGGCTGCCTGCCTGCCTCCGTGCCTCTGCCTGCGACTGTGTCGCCGCGGCCGGATCCGAGGCCGTGGTGAGCTCCGGAGCCCGGAGGGGCATCGGTGATCGTCAGGGCTCAGGATGTTGGCCGTAGCCGGCTGCCGGCCCTTTTTTCCATGATGACAACATTAGGATTTCAGAACAACTGTGGCCGTAGCTCTTTCTCTGTGCTAGTACTACTACTTACGAGATAACCTCGTGCAAACGAACAAGCCGCTGGTAGTGCTGGGATCAGTGGTGGACTGGTACAAATCATCATGGCGCCGCGAGCTAGTGGACGCAGTCGTCCCGGGACAGCCGCTGCCCTGACCCTGAGCGCACAAATGATTACGGCAAGAGCACAGGCTAATGGGCGCAATCAGGACAAATCACTGAGCATCACTGAACGAAATATACTACTTTTTTTTTTGAGACGAACGAAAATACACTATTCCTGTAGCAGGAGTAGTTTATTGCGAGGCTAGTAGGAGTACTACTAGGCATCGATCGCACCGCACTGGACGGGAGCGTGAGCTCGATCGAGTGCACAGCCGCCCGCAGCAGCCTCCCCCATCATCATTAAAGTAATCTTCGCCGCAATCAATGCACATCACCTACCCCGCCTTCTTCTAGCTACTCTGCCACACCCCACCAGCAGGCAGCAGCACTTGACAGCAACAGTGAGTAGAGCATTTGACAGCGCTCCCAGCCTCCCCTCCCCATTAAACAACAGGAGTGTGTTCCGCGCTCGCCTCGCTCGGCCACCTGCGCCAACGCGCGCGAGTATGCCTGCTGGTGCTGAATTAACTCGGTCGCCGCGCCGCCCCGCCCCGGACTTGCGGTGCGGTCCGGGAGAGGACCGAAGGAGCAGCAGCCCACGGCACGGCAAAAGCTCATCCTGGGCTGCTGTCCTGGCTGGTCGCCGGTCGCCCACGCCACCTCCCCCCCTGCAGATGGAATGAAGAGCGGCGCCCGCGGGCGGCAAACTGCGCGCCAGTCGCGGGGGCGGCCATCATCTCATCTTTGCTGCTGCTGCCTGTCGTTCCAGGGACCGCGTCCGCAACTGCGCATGTGCGCTTTTCTGTCTTCGTGCCCGCCTGTCCGCACGGGCACGGCCCCCCCCCCCCGCGCGTCCACGGTGTGGGTAGGGCGGGTAGGGTAGTCTATTTGGTGGCGTGCTTGTGCCTGGAGATCTGGGTGGCGGGACGATCGCCTTTTGCACACGCTCAATGATGCATGCAACCCAGGGCCAGGTCCCAGGTGACAGCTAATCTTAGCTCGCGCTTAATTCTAGTCGAGGCGAGGGCCGGCTGATTGCTACTGGATTTGCCGATCGCTCACTCATCGCGCGCTCAAGGTCGGGCAGACGCAGACGCAGACGAGCACGGAATGATTGTCCACTTCACGATCGGAATTCATGATGATCGTAGGAGTATTCACGAAATTGGGGTGGGGGTTTGGACCGCGTCCACCGTTAAACTAGTCTTCCTCCTCTGGGGACCGACCAATGGTAGTATTTATTCCCCGTAATAACGCAGCGTTATTCGATCGCAGTCGAGAGGGAATCGAAGGACCTCCTGATCAATGTGGACATTGAAGCACCGAAGCTGGAACCGTGTCCCGCGCTGACACATGTCGGCCTGTTTGGCTGGAGGAAAACGATCATATCCGATCGGAAATTTCGTAAATTTTTCCGCGTAAAACCAAATAATGGCGATTTTTTCCAAAGAACGATATGAACCACCAACCAATTAGATCGACAAAGAAGACTGCACCGTCGCCGCTTCATAAATTCCATGCCACTTCATCACGAATACAGTAAAAAGATAACAACGGCATACGTCGATACGCAGAAGACCCATACCATACCAGGTAGTATCGTAGTCCTCGATTTTCCATTCCACTTCATCCATATTTTGAAAGCTACAGTAAAAGTTATCTTCGTGAACAACTCCCATGATATTTTTTTGCGAATTATATGATCCGAATCGAAAAGTTCAAATTTACCGGTTCCCCATACCATTCCACTGCTCATCAAACCAACCAATGAGGTAATTCAATAACCGCAAATGCAAGTTTTTCGACCAAATTTTTAGAATCGTGAGCCTTTATCTTCTCTCTTCATTAAGATAGTGCAATGTCAAGATATTTTAATGTCTATGAAACTCTATGAAATCCCCATTGAGATCACGGTGAGGGCAATCCCAACGAAAGAAACTAGTAGTTTCATAACACATGATACCGCACACAAAAGAGTCGCTCTTTCAACCCATGGTTTCTATAAGTAATTATTTTCTCTTTCTTTCTCCCAACTCTATCTTCTTTCTCCAATAGTACGACACGATCTTCTTTTCTCCCCAATAGAATTTCATGGTTTATTTGGTAAGAGTAGATCGATTTCTTTATGAAAACCATTTCTATTTAATTTTTTCATTAATTACGCTAAAATCTATATAAAATCGTCATTTAATGGCGATAAACTATCATCAATACACCATTGAGACTGCCCTGATCCCATCTCCTAGCAGAGTAGTATATTTGTTGAATACCATGGCCCTACGCAGGCAGCACCACCACGCAGGCGAAAAGCCGACGGGCAGGTAAAAAAAAAGAAAAGACGGCGACAATTTAAGGGCCGGAACCGGAACGGCGGAACCCATGCTTACTGCCGTAGCGCCGGAACAGGCAAACGGCGCCCTAAACGTGGTGGCGGTACAAGTGAGCGCGCGGGCGCGGGTGACCTTTATGGCACATGCGCTGCGTGCCTGCCGGGCGCTGCAGAGATGCCCACCGGCGGCCGTGCCGTGGCCATGCATGGACGATGGACCAGCTGACGCACGGGCACGGCCGGACAGGGCTGGCTAGTGGCTACAGTGCAGGTGACGCAAGGTAGTAGGCTAGCTAGCTAGCGTTCTCTGGCCCGTGCTCCTCCATCCGCCGTCTGCGTCGGCGATGGGGAGGACACAAACGGCTGGAATC